GTTAAGTCTGAACTAGTGACAACGCATTCCGCATTGATATTTATGAAATTCTGCTGCAAAAATCAAAACAGTCATAGAAATCTCAGTACAACCCAAAGTAATGTAAACTTGCATAAGCTTTCAATAAGTTTCCTATACACCTACAGATCAGCAGACTACTAAACACACACACAATCCCACAGTGTTCGAAAGGAAAATTCCTCACATAAAGTGAAGATTAAATTTCCTCAGGAAGAGATATGTCATCATAACCCCACTTTGCCATTTATGCCAAACACCTACTCCATACAAATCTCGAAAATAATATAAATAAACCACACAGTAGCTCATTGGGGATAAGAAGGGGCTTTTTGAATAAAAAATGTTCTCTTAAAATAGGGAGGCATTTGTCTTTATCTCAGTATCTGAGCCTCCCAACTACATAAAAAACAAATGTGTCCTTGCAGCATCCCACATCACTTGTGAATAAACCTGTGTCGAAATTACATTTTTCCGTTCCATACAAAATTAAACATTTGCACTCATACTTTTGTTATACATTAAGATATTGGAAATACTTCATAATGGAAAACTTTGAAAACTCTTGGGCAGAATGCCAGCAAGCTGGTGAAACAGCTCAAGACCCCAGACACCCAGAGAGCCTGCCAATGTGGCCTGTGTACCTATGTGGTTAGGTGACAGACAAGCACATCAGTTTTTAATGGACTTAATGCCTTCCTGCAGAACATTTCAATTCTATTTGATAGGCTTCCACTGGAAAAGTTTTAACTCACACTAGTCAAAATTAGCATCATCATTAACGCTCTTTAGGTAAGGCAATATATTAACTTATCCCGTCATGGCAGAGCTGGGGATTGGCCCTTGGCCTCTTACATTCCACCTCAGCTCTTCAACCGTTAAGACCACTCTCCATATCCAAAATTATCTTTTCAGATCTTTGCCTTCTCTGCTTAGGAGGCATTCTGATGTTCTCTGCACACAAGAGCACAGATCCAAGTAGAATCCTCTTATTCTGAAATAAAAACTGGATTTTCCATAGCTGCACTGCCAGAATAATGCTGATAGGCATGTCTGAAGCGTGTTCGGATCCTAACTAGATACTTCTCCAAAACATGAGTGACTTCCTGCTAAGAAGCAACTACATAAAATACTGGGAAGGGCAGCCTAAGCTATTTGGAAACATGATGCTAATCCACACGAACTAATGGGCAAGCTAGCAACTGTGAATGAAACCAGACCCGCCTTGCAAAACTTCATGCATAAACATTTTGCTGAGTTCCTAGCAATTAGTCCTTCATGTTTCAGTTTGGTTTTTGCAAACACCTATACAAACAAAGGTATAAACTCGGTTGAAAATGCACGTTCGTCTGTAGCTAAAGGCAATTCAGGTTTTAGTTCTGCTTTGTGTTGCTCTTAGTGGTGAAACTGAAGTAGGAATTCCTCTGTCTCTTTTTTCACGCTCCTTGCTGTGCTGTGACTGAATCACCGAAATGGTCTCTATTGCACTTTCAGGGTTATTAACCAGAGCATGTAAGCAGTTCATGGCTGCCGTGCGACTCCAGCCTCAACTGTATTGGTGCAGTTTAGAAGATGGGGAACTGCAGAACAGGGCAGGTAATGAGCTGTCAGGGAAAGTAGGGCCTTCTGGCCTGCATTTGCCACCAAGGACTGCATATTAAGAGTTAATGTCTTTACTAATAAGCTATAATTCAATCTACCTTTTAGAAAAATTAAACTAGATAAAATTGACTTTCAAGAGGGGCACTCTGTATTACCAAGTTTACACTGCAAATCAAATCGACTGAAGTGCCCAGAACTCTGAAAGTTTGCTTGTGAGCTCTCCACTAGCAACCCTCAGCCTGAAGTTAATTTATAAATGTATTCAAACACATTCAGACACTCATGAAGAGCTAGCAAACTGGCAACACTTGAGAGCATTAATAACAAAAGTGTTCAGCAAATGCTTTCATTTGAGTCGTTTCCTTTGTTCCAGTGACAAGCAACACAAATGAGTTTGCATTCAAACTCTACTTCACTCACAAGCCCATATAATTCTGCTTGCTTCAGTGCAAGGGGACAGGGAGGGGGAAGTAGTGAAGACCTGCTCATCACTCCACTGTTCTGGAGGAACACAGACTAAAGTTTAGAGAATATTATTGAATTGTGAGTAGTGTATGGCTTCAGTAAGCGTTGTATGCAGTCAGTGCTGCTTGTGTGTGAAGGACAGATGGTTACTGCTTGCTTTGCGCTTCAAAAGATGTCAGATAGCTGTATATCCTGAGGACAGCATGTACAAAGCATATATACCAGGTGCCGAAGAGAGGAAGCCACTTGTACAACGCGAAAATCAGTTTAATGACCTGCAAAAACACTTGAACAAATACAAGCACTTCTGAGGTTCTCACTAACCAAAATCTGCAAGTTTAACTTTTATGAATCAAGCTGTCACTCATGTAAAATGAGTTCAGCTATTAATGGAAAAAAAATAAATGTACAATGATGAGGAAATGACCTAATGGATCAAGGCAGATTGACTTAATTTGTTATTAATTAACTGCCCTCAGGAGAAATTATAGAGGGAGCGGCCAAACAGCAGGATAACAGTTAACAGAATCTTTTCCTCTTGATAAATTAGATTTTTTTTTGTTATGTTTCAGAAAGAATAAGAGAAAGTAAAAGATACTGTCTTCTGCACGCTGGAAAGGTCTTTGGTGCATGTTACTGTTCCTAAAAAATTAAATTACAGCCCACCTGCAGAAGCGTTTAATCAAGAACAAGCAAACAAAGTGAAACACTATCAGCCTTGCTTTGCTCTCATCCTGGCCTTTGTGCCTGTAAAGGAAAAATGTCGCTAAGAACATTTAAGTACATTAATTACCACATTCTAGGGAGCAAACAACCCTGAAGAGCAATTATAGCTTCTCTCTGGCTAACAGGAATTTTATTAAAGAACGAACATCACCATGCAGAGTTCCATGCTTAGGAGCAGCTACATCATCAATTTTCTCTTCTTATTATCTCACATAATTTTAATGACGATTTCTTGTTAACAGCATTGATACATGCAACCACAGCAAAGATGCAGCAACAGAATGCTTGCCCATTTTTTCCTCTTCTTCTGTTGAAGTCTTCCGTTTAAGCAGCAGCTTCCAAAATTATACATCAAAGTATTTTCACTCCTATTCCCATACTGCCAACATAAAATTTGAGGATGGCCAGACCACTCATCATACTGACCTGCATATCCTGCCACTGTCTAATTCACAAGTTCACGACCCACTTCTCTCCATCCCACTTGTCATTCTCACCAAGTTTCATCTATAAACTTTTCCTCTCCATCATCTAAGCCGGTCAGGATCGTTTCTCTCCTGCACCTCCTTTCTAACTTCCTCACCTCTCAACTTTTGCTCTCTGAAAAGAAATTTCTTTTGGAAAACCTTGTTACATTTCTGAGTCAGATGGAACACTGTTCAACTGTTTGCACTGATGTGGTAACAAACAAAATAAAGGTAAGGATGATCAGGAGAAAAGCAATATATGGGAAAGGAGTGAGGATTCCAAACAAAGGCTAGTCACACGCGGAGAAGGCTCCCTTGACAGTATTTCAAAGCAATGCACAAACTGGAATGTTGGATATGCTCATTAAGAAAGATTTATTAGGAAAAACAGAGCTCGGGTGCTGTCCACTGGGATGTTTGCGTATCACCAGAACACCAATGACCAAATTCAGCACAGACAACATTCCAAATTAATGCTCAGGTACTAAGTTCATTTCCCATTTCCTTCAAAAAACAGAAACTCTTTTTCAAAACAGCAATTTGTAACAGAGGCTCAAAGTAACACTTTTGTGCTTCTCATTTCAGAAAAATGCACTAAACCTTCCTTGACGTTATGTCTTTTCAATCAACTGTTCCAGTCTCAATCCATGCACTTCATTCATAAATAAAAGTAAATGTGCTAATCACTGCACTATGAGCAAAAAAGATGCTCACCTGACTTGGTTGTGTAATATTTTCGTTATCCTGATCATATATTCTATTGCGCAGGCCTCCATTAAATGAAGCAGGAGCTCTAAAGGCAGATTAAGAATCACGTGTGCACCCAGAAAGGTATGGCCTGTTATGTCAACATAATGAAACCACACTAGAACACCCTCCTCATAATACCCACAAGGGGTGTTCTTGAAGTTTGCAGTATTAAGTTAAATTAATAGCCCCAATAGGAGACAAATATTACACAAAGGTACTTTAGGAAATACTGAAACCAAAAACTGCCAAAACAGCCAAAAACTGAAAGTTTTCGTATGATGGAAATTGCTTGTGGGGAGAAGTATTAAAACCTCACTAGCCTCCCACATACAACGGGAAACTGCCCCAGAGCACAGAGCTACATGCAGCCAGACATCTTTGAATGAAGTAATAACAAGGTAGTTTTAGCTAAAAATTAAAACATAACAGATTTTCATTCCAATTAGCTAGAAGACCAAAATCAGAGCATGTAACTTGGATGCTGAAAAAAGTAGCATCTGTCACAGCATGCACACAGCACCATGGAAAGATACTGTAGTGATCTGAACTACTGGATGCAGGCTCTGCATGCTATTCAGAGCACTGAACAGCACACCCAAAAGGACAGCCTTGTCTTACGGGACTGAGGAGTAGGGAGTTTTCATAATATTGTCTGTTCTGATTCAATTTTTTTATTTCTTACATGGAAAAAACTCAGCTCGTCTGTGACTCAGTCTTTTCCTTTATCAAATTAGAAACATACATGTTGGTAGGTACAGTGACTGCTTAGAATCATTAAATGTCTGGCATTAGGTAACTATAATATTATATTTCTATTTTCAGTATTCCTCCAGACACTTTGAAAGTAAGTTCACAAAAAATACTCATAAAATTAATAAAAGAAAGGTTTAACTTTTGGCCCTGGAGGATGAACATCTAGCACACTAAGGAAAGAAAGATCCGTCCTAAAAATTAAAGAAAGATCAGACTTACGTTTGTGTTGCAGAGTTTATATTGCCTGTAGGTGCCAATGCACACAATAGCTGCAGCCCTTTGAGGTTGAGGCTGACCCTGGATCAACTGGCGTGATGCAGACCCATGATGGTTTGAGTCGCTATTATGAAACAAACTTTGAGATGCAGGAAATGAAGTTGACTGATAAACTGAGGGTCCTAGGACTTGATGTCCAGCCTGAGGTCCACTTTCTTCTTGATAAAGATTCCCATGTTGAAGTGAAGGATTAGCTGCCTGGCTGTAAGTGTTCCCAAGACTCGGACTCTGATGAAATACATGGTTCCTTGATGACTGTCGCTGCCTTCGAAGTTTCTGAGGCTGCTGACCAGTATCAGTTTGCAAAGGTAAAATATATGGCACTTTTCCATATCCGTACTTTCCTGGGCCAATAGGATTTCTGTTTCTGCTTCTAAAGACAGAGAGAGAAAGATCTGGGTAACGACAGAAGAAAAATTGAAGTTGGTATGCGCAAAGATCACTAAACAACATTTTGTATCTATTTAAAAGGCTTCCTATGCTTCCACTTCATTTACTACTTAAGAAATTAAAAAATAAAAAAACTAAAAACAAACAAAAAAAATCCCAAAAAACAGAGACCAAAAAAGGAGGAGGAAGAGGAATATCAAAATACTACTAAAAGACTCCTGGAAAAGATAACAAACACAGAAAAATATTTCTATTATGATACACAGTTTATTTTCCTTGATTAAGAGAATAACCTAATTTTTTTTAAATATATGAGGTATGCATTAGAGATACATTCAATTAATAAATCATGAGCCCCCAAATTTAGATTGTTGAGATATAAGCCCACCTTTCACTGCATTCTACTACAATATTATACAAGAGCCTGACAGCCCCCAGCACTAATCACATAAGTTTCAGGGGTGCTTTCCTGTACACCGTTCTTTTTTCCTTAATCAAGACTCCACATTTTGGGCAATGCGACCCAAGTATCAAACCATGTGTTAAGAGTATAGGAAGTCGCAGAGTAAGGAGAAGCTGAGGACACCAGAGCATGCTTCCCAGGAGATACCCCCCTCTGCAGTACCCCACCAAGCTCTCTATCTCCTGCTCAAGGATACGTTACACCAAGCACATCTTCGGACAACACGTCAGTGATGGCCCACTCATCAGCACCTGGGATCACGGAAGGGGAAATGGTGGTTGGGGTACCATGCTGCAAAGGCAAGGTCCAAATACAGGGCTGGGAGAATAAGGCAGGAACCCACGGAGATGCGTTCACTGCTAACGGACAGTAATGGACAAACACAGACCCACGATTTGCAGAGTGACAGAGAGTGATGTTGCCTGGTCCCGTGCACGCCCCACCTCCCGACACAGCTCTGAGCCAGCAGGGAGCACTCTCATACAGCAGATACTCCCTGGAGGAGGGTTTGAAGTCTTCTACATACCCATAGCAACAGAAGGGACTAAGCCCAGAAACTCACCTCCCACTTAGGAGTGGAAAAGTCACAAAATAAATAAAACCACATTCAGACCATATCATTCAAGTAGGTTAATCTTAGTACTTTATCTGCAAGCAACACGTTCATTTGCATTCGTTTTCCTTGCCACCCTGTACAGCTCAACACCACACCAGATCTAGATTTCTAATGCTGCAGTCTGAAGAAACAGAGTTGGCAAAGAAAATTCTTCCTGTTCAGTGCAATGTGCATATGTGAAAACAGCTGTTCTTGGGTAACCTTTGCAGCTCAGGGGACACCCTTGAAGGAGGGTCATTTTCTCGCCTGTCCATAAAATGTATTTATATATTTTTAATATATATAAAATACACTTGAAGTGCAGTGAAAACTAGAGGTTATAAATTGACAGGCTTATTTTCTAGAAACTGAAATATTACAGATGTCAGACAGCCACCAGATCAAAGGCTTTTCTTTGGATTTGTTTTTTCTTGTGTTTATTTTCTTCCTAACTCTTTCTTATATTCTTCTAAGACTCTTGCTACAAGGAAACCTTGGAAGTCTAGCTTAACAGTCTAGCTTTATGGCCGAGTTGGGCTTTTAATCAGTTTTCCTGGCTCAAGGATGTGCGAACTGAGAATGCTGATTTACCCTGGCAGATAAGTCGCTAGCACTCTTCAGTTGTTTACACCAGTTAATGTGCTCTGTGACAGTGATGGTCCTCGTTGAGGCATGGGTTTAGTAGTTAGGCTAGAGAAAAGAAATGTAATGGTTTTGTGGCATTAAGAGAGAATTAAAAATCGTCCCTTTAAGTGGACAGGAAAGGAAGGGAGCTGAGAGAATTTATGGACTGGAACTAGTTCAGAAGTTGAAATTAAAAGCAACTTGATTTAAATGAGCACAGTTTGGGTGGGCTTTTTTGTTTGTTTTTTTTTTTTAAATAAAGCCATTAATTCCCCCCACAACACTCCCATTTCTCATTTTTAACATAACTCTTCACTTCTGAGCAAGAATAAAACTAAGAAGAAGAGATAGTCTTTCTTGAGATTTCTAATCATATTTTGCACTCTAGAAACACTTGGGTATCTTAGTTCGCACAAAGTGTTTAGATTTTGGAGCAATTCCCTTTATCTGGGAAACAGATACAATTCTTTGTTCCCACTTGCCCCAGACTCTAATGATTCTGACAGACAGCATAGTTCTTCTCAAGTTGACCACAGTAAATTTGAGGTATCTGAGATATGAACAAACCTTGGCAACAATTCCTGGCAGCTAGAAAGTGAACCTATTTCATTGTGTGGACCACAGGCCGCATGGGGTGGGGTTCCAAAATAAATGATGGCACTCTCCATACCAGCGCCCTTACAGGGGTGGATGGAGGGTGGCAGGTCTACTGAAATTAGGGTGTAGACTATACACCTATACAGGGTGTATAGTCAGGTCTTTGCATTTGGAATCAACATGAGGAGAAATCTGAGGAAAAACTGAGCAATATCCCATCT